TTATTTCTATATTATGCTACTATATATTTATATATATATATACTTACTATGTGGTATTTGTAATCATTATTATTTATTGAATTTTCTCCATTGCTTTATTGGCTTATTGATTAATCTTTTGGTACAGTTGTTACAGAGGCATTTTATCAGTCTATTCATGACTTTCCATGGGCAATGGTGTGTTTATTATTTTTTTCATTTATGGTAGCATTTATATCCCTGCTTATAAAAACTTTGCTTTATACAAAATAGATTTTCATTTATGGTGATTGGTACCATGAGGATTTACTTTATCATGAAGCTACTAGAAAAGTTATTCATTCTCTGCTTTACTAAAGGGTAATTTTGTCATAAATCAAATGAATGTCTAGGCATAGGTCTGATTCTGGACCTTATATTCCATTCCACTGCCTGAACTCTACCTATCCTTGCACCAATGAAAGTCATCTTACATATTGGACTGTATTATAATGTTTGAATCATGATATTGGAATGTTTCAAGCTTAGTTCTTTCACAGCATTCTCTTTTGTGCCCCTTTAAATTTTCCCTATAAAGTTTCAAAGCAGCTTTTTAACACATATTCCCACATGGATAAGGACAATTTGCTGATAATTCATTTGAAATTTATTGGACATCTTTAAAACAGCAAGTATTTTGGTCTTTGACCAAGAGATGGCATCTGCTTTCATTACTAGCTTATTTACTTTGTTAAAGAAATCATATGCAAATTGGTGTGTGTGCGTGTGCATGCGTACATGTGTGTATGTGCATGTGTGTGTGTGTGTGTGAGAGAGAGAGAGAGAGAGTGTGTGTGTGTGTGTGTGTGTGAGAGAGAGAGAGAGAGAGCGTATTTGCCAGTACAGGAATTTGAACTCAGGGCTTGACACTGTCCTTTAGCTTTTTGGCTCAAGTGGTGTTCTAGCAAATGAGCCAAAGCTTTAGTTACAGCTTTTTGTTGGTTAATTGGCAATAACAGACTCATAGACTTTCCTGCCTAGGCTGATTGTGAGCCTCAGGTCTCAGTCTCCTGAGCTAGGGTTCCAGTAATGAACCACATGTGTCCAGTTAATATGCAGTCTTTTGTGTAGTTATTATATATCTCCTTGCTAGAACTGCTTTTGGATTTGATATTATCTACTTGTACTTTAAGAGACACCTTCAAAAACTTTATCTCACTGATTGCAGTTGGCATCTGTGATGATTTAATTTCCTAGCGATTTCTAAATTTCTAGCTACAATCTTCATTTTATAATTGCTTTCACACTTAGATATGTTACAGAGATATTTATATCCAAGAATAATCACTTTCTATTATCATGGTTAATTTTGTCTGATATTTTTATGAAATTATAAAATAATATTACATTGAGAGTATGGGTATGACCATAATAAAGTTTTAATTCAACCAAAATTTTACCTTTGAAACTTTTTAATTGAATTTAGAACTTTGCTTTTTGTCATTTTGGGGACACACACACACACACACACACATACCAAACTATATTTATAGATATACACATGGGATCAAACACACACACACACACAAATCAGATCTTGCACTTTGTCTAAGCTTTAGCCATACCACAGCAATAAGTAATTATCTTACCCCTGCCCTGACATTTTAAGTGCATTTTAGCCTGTGTCTACTATTTGTGATTAGAATCAGTGTAATCGGACACATTTGAGCAACTTCTAAGCCAGAAAGCCACTTGACCTCTTGGCAATTGAGGTAATCATTTCTTCCTTTGAAACGTGCCAGAATTATTTATAAAAAGATACATCAAGGCAAGGTCTATAAATATTCAGTGTCAGTAGTAATGAAAGAGATAGGAGTTGAAAACAATATTAGGAAGATATTCTTTATTCATCGTTCTAGGAGAGGTGAAGTACAGGAGCACTCAATGTTAGCCCTGGGCACTGGAGGACAGGCTCATGTACTGCTTAGTTTAAAATAAGATGCAGCTTTTCTATAAAGTAGTTTAAGAAAGTTATTCAATGTTTTGAAAATATTATACCAATTCCAAGTCTATAAACCTATTTTAAATTTAAAAGAACAGCTATACTCAAAAAAGATTTCCAAGTAAAACTTTGGTTGTCATAATATCTGCAAATGTATAAAATTATCAGTCCAAAATCAGAGCATTTATTACACAAATCACAGGGCCCCATATAATATAGATATTTTACATGCAATATCTAATATATATACATATATTTGATAATGTTAGAAAGTATCGTTACTTTCTGTTGAGAATAGAAACAAGACTCAGTTCCTGCATGAGGGAAAAAAATCAGAGTACTATATTTATAGGAATATTTCTAAGTGTTAAAATCATTTTAGGGTTTCAATTGCCTTTTGTATTCTGTATTTACCTAATCACTATGCACTATCCTCAGTGTTGAGTAGATATTAGAAGGCACTATTTCACCTAAGAAACTAAGAAATTTTTCTATAATGGAGCTTTGTTTACTGTGGTTTAGGAAACTAAAGGAGTCTCTAAGGAGCATACAAATATATCACTGAAAAAAATTCTCTCATAGATATAAACTTGCAAATCATTACCTTGACTTATTACAGGGATAAAAAATTGTAAATGGTTTTCAGAAGAAAAAGGGGGGGTAAGACAAAGTAGAAAGAGCTAAAGGGAGAAATAACCAAAAACCTGAGAGAGAGTATTAAGGTGCAGAAACAGATTGCTAACACAGCTAAAATTTTCATTAGTGGAGGAAGATGATAAGATGCCTACATATACTATGTTTAAAAGGTAAAAAGTAAGCTTCAGTTTTCTACACCAAATGCAGAAACATGAAATGGCCGCAGATTTGAAAGAAATACAAAGCAGTGGGAAAGAATCCATTATATTGTCCCATAAGCAACATATCCATTTAGTCATTCATTCATTCATTTGTTACTTTGTATTTATTTTGGTGCTAGGGATTAATATAAGTGAAGTCACATCTTGAGGTACATTCTCAGCCAGCAAGGGGCATACTCGGCACATTCTTCCCTATCACTGGGGCTATGTTCTCAATATGTGTCATAGTTTGTCATAATGTTTCCCGCTATTCACTATGTCTCTTCTCAGGTGAATGACCTCTCACCCCACTGACATGAGCATCGGTTATGTGACATGATTTGTTCAGTGCAGTGAGGCTTAAGGGAACATCCCTGACTTTCCATTGGAAAGCTGTAGGAGCAACTGGATGATGTCAGCAGGGCATAATTCCTGTATTTACCAAGCCAAGAAGTGGCCCCTACTTTCACCGTGGTTCTTCTTAGAGATAACATGAAGCACAGACAGAGAAGACGCAGCTACACTACAATATAGGGAAGAAATAAACCTGTATAGTTTAAGCCTTACGGTTTCTTGCTACTTGTTATTTCAGGAAAAACTGACAAATGCTAACGTTCATTCAATCTCCTCTAGAAAGAGCTTCCCCTAATAGCTTTACCTACTCTTCAGCTATCTTTTGTTGTCTTGTGTGTTTATCTTATGTTTCCTTAATAAAATATGTAATTAAAAATAATATTAGTGACTATAATTTTAGATTATCCTTTAAAAAAAAGCATTCCTTTTAGCCAAGTGCCAGTAGCTTATTCCTGTAATTGTAGCTACTTAGGAGGCTGAGATCTGAGGATCGAAATTTAAAGCCAGTTTGGGCAGGAGAGCCCATGAGACTCTTATTTTCAATTAACATCCAGAAATCTGAAAGTGGAACAATATGGCTCAAAAGATAAGGCTATCCTTAAGTGAAAAAAAAATATCTAAGAGACAGTACCCCAAGCCCTGAGTTCAAGTTCTCATACCAGAATCAAAAATTAGAAGGTTTTATTTCATTTTGCTTTTTTTAAAATTTGTACGTTTAATACATAGTTGAGTTTTACTAGCAATTCCGTTCTATTATTTGCATAAATGAATGGGTTACTCTATTCTTTCCAAATTTACCAAAGTATCATGATTCCTCTTTCTCTTCTTTCTTCCTCTTCCTTTCAGTCCTTCAAAATTGAAGGTATAATATGTACTAGGACTTATGTCAGCTGAGAGTGAAAATTGACAAAGAAAAAAAGTGGTCCTAGCCTAGCACAATTCAGTTTTGCGCACATCACAAGAGCTATGGCGAATTACGTGTGAATAGAGAATGAATTTCACTGAACCTCATTCCAATACTACGTTCTTCAAAGAGAAGTACTGTGTAGAAAATACAGGAAATATATCTGAAGATGAGTAAGCATTATAAAATGCCATGTGAATTGGAAATCAAAGGTGACAAGTAGGAGAAATCGAAGGAAAGCCACTATTTTTAACCACATCATAGGCATGAAATATTCAAGGACATTGGAGGATATGTGAATAAGGGGTTTCCTGCTTTACCCAAGCTAAAATTAATGCCAGTCTGGAGGGGAACTATCATACTGACATTAAAAAAATAAGATGACAGGAAAAAAACTCTCATATTGTGGATGATGGATTAGAAAGAGGAAACACAAAGACTGCATTTAGACCAGTTTCAGAAGTTACTTTAAGTTTGAGCAGGATGTGACAGATTTCTGGTGGAATAGGAAAGTGGAAAGATTACAAAGTTTTTAGTATGTGGAATTATCTTTGATGAAACACTGAGTATGAGAATTGAAACAGAAAGAGAAGTTAAATAAACTCTGAATTTTGAACCAAGAAATACAAGTTTAGTAGTTGGCTGAAGGAGCCCAACGAGCTTGAGTAGACAATATTCAACTTTAACGTACATTTAAATAGAGTAGTATTTGTTCAAAGGAGGTGAGATGAGTATGTACTAAGCTTCTTATAAAGATCTGCTTAGCTCTCTTGACTTATTGGGATCCACTGTAATTAAAGAGTAACATCTGGAGCACTGACTGAATTTAATTGGGCGATACATACAAACATCACCATGGCAAACCAGGGACACAGATTGGAGGGGTTGATTACATTTCACATATTGGATATACTGTATAAAATAAAAAGGGTACATGCAGACTTACCTTTTATTGATTTTCTCTACCATTTTGGACATGTCAATCGAAATTTTTTTATTTTCGTCCACTACTCTATTATATGCTCCTGAAATACCTGTATAGTCTTTTATTACATTAGAAAGCTCAGAATCCAATGTTCTTTTCTTGAGCAAAAGAATGAAAGAATTACTTCTGTGTTTAAGCAGTCAAAAAGGAAAATAAAATAATAAAATTACTTTTAGATAATATATGAGAATAGTGTAACCCCTCAACGTAGGGAAAGGTCAACTTACTGTAGCATAAAAATCATTGAATTTGTCTAAATATTGCCTTTCAAATTTCCTCTGCTTCCGGAAGAGTTGTTCGTATGTTTTCTTCAAATTATCTAGCTAAAAATAGAACAGAGAATTAGTGACTTGTGAAATTTTCCTTCTTTCAGCTTCTAAAATGATCAGTATTGCTTGAAATAGCAGTCTGCTTCCATTCATAAAACAGATACAAGAGTCTGGTGAAATATAATAAACAAAATCTTAATCAAGATTAATATTCAAATGAATAGTCCTAACAAAATAAAATGCATTTTAACTGTGTAAAACTTGAAAAAAAATTCAGTTGTCTTATTACACTGACAAATTGAAGAGAAAAAAAATAACATGATCAAAATAGTTGTCAAAAATAACTGAGTAGTGCTCGGAATGTGGCTTAGTGATAGAGTGCTTGCCTAGCATGCATGAAGCCCTGCGTTCAATTCCTCAGTGCCACACAAACAGAAAAAGCTGGAAATGGTGCCAAGGCTCAAGTGGTAGAGTGCTAGCCTTGAGCAAAAGAAGCTCAGGGACAGTACCCAGGCCCTGAGTTCAAGCTCCAGACTGGCAAAAAGAAAAAAGAAAAAGAAAAAAACTGATTAAACTCGTTATCCACATGCTTTTAAACTACTATAAGGATAAGAAACTCAAATAGAAGGAACTACATAGATCTCAAAATTTTTCGAAATACTTAATCATATCTATTAATTTTTTAAATATATATGACCATTTACTACCAATATATTGTGTCATTTTTTTGTGAGAGAATGCCTGAAAACAATTGGGTCAGAAACCAATATACTTATAATATATCTTCAACTTATTTTGTTCTAATACTAGGACTTGACTGAAGGCAATGTGAAATCACTCAGCTTTCTTACTCAGGGTAACTGGTACTCTAACGCCTGAAAAATGTCACCAGTACTGGTTTTTGCTGGTTCATTGGAGAGATTGAGTCTCGGACTATTCTATGCAGGCAGGCTTTAAACCACAATCCTCAGATCTCAGCCTCCTGAATAGCTAGGATTACAGATGTGAGTCAACTGTACCTAGTGTTCAATTTTAAATGACAGGATTAGATATCTAAAGAAACAAAAGTTCCTAACTAAAAGTATAATAAATTATTTTGGTGAAAAGGCTGGGATAGGATAATAACCAATAAGTATTACAATCAGTTTTGAAACATAGTAATTATAAAAGTATTGTTATTATAAAATATTATAAAACATTTTGGAATATGTTTAATAAAAAGGAATAGCCTATAAAAATAAACACAAATCTGTTATTAAAAGGCTACATCAAGACCCACATGAACAGGATGGTATGTAATTGAAAGTTTAATAGTAACAAAAGTCAATTCTCCCAAAATTAATATAAAAATATGATGAAATGAAATATCTCTTTATGAATTGTATAACACAAACTTGATGGAAGATAAACAATACAAAAACAGCTCTGCGGTATATACAAATAAAATTTATGCTGAAAACTTGCTACCAAATTCTAAATACCCTATAACACTACTATAGTATAGCACAGCATTTTTGTAATTGTAGTAAATAAATACCACAGTGGAAAACTAGAGGTCTGCCTCATATAATGTGTTTAAGTATTTTATTTAATTCCATGAGACAGTACATTCTTAGAATCTAGTCCTTGAGAAGAATTCCAGTGAAAAACAGTAAAGACTCTCTGCAGGGTATAAAATTAACCCCCCCACCCCCAAATCAATGGCTTTTCTGTATGCCAATAAGGAGAAGAGGGCAGCTGAAATCAGGAAAGAAACTCTTTTTGCAACAGCCCCACTCACAGAAAAAAAAATACGTAGGAATTAACTTACCTAAAGAAGTGAAGGACCTCTATGATGAAAACTTTAAAAAACTAAAAGAGGAAATTAAAGCACAACTAAGGAAGTAGAAAAACCTTCCATGTTCCTGGATTGGGAGGATTAACATCGTGAAAGTGGCAATACTGCCAAAGGCTAGCTACAAATTCAATAAAATACCCATCAATATCCTAACCTCATTCTTCGATGACGTAGAAGAAGCAACCCAAAAATTCATATGGAACAATAAAAGACCCCTAATAGCAAAAACAATCAATCCTTAGCAGAAAGAACAGTGCTGGAGAAATATCAATACCAAACTTCAAACTCTTATTACAAAGCCAATCAAATGATCAAAATGATCAAAAGACCAGTCCCGAGGACCAATGGAATAGAACTAAAGATCCAGAAATGAACCCACAGACCTATAGCCACCTAATCTTTGATAAAGGAGCTAAAAAATAGAATGGAAAAAAAAGACAGCCTCTTCAGTTAATGGTGCTGGCAAAATTGGCTAAACATCTGTAGAAGACTAAAGCTAGATCCTTATATATCACCCTGCACTAGAATCACCTCCAAATGGACCAAAAATCTTGAAGTCAAAGCAAACACCCTGAAAAACATTATAGGAAGGAATAGGAGACACTCTAGGGCTCCTTGGCACAGGTCGAAATTTTCTTCACAAAGACCCAGAAACACAACAAATCAAAGAAAGGTTGAACAAATGGGATTGCATGAAACTGCAGTGCTTCTTCACAGCAAAGGACACAGCTGGCAAGATCAATAGAAAGCCCATGGACTGGGAAAAGATCTTCACTAGCCATACAACAGACAAGGGCCTCATATTTAAAATATACTTAGAACTCAAAAAATTAAACCCTCCTAAAACATATCCTCAAAGAAACAACTGCCCCATTAATAAGTGGGCTAAAGACTTAGAGACTTCTGTCAAGGAAATAAGAATGGCCTATAGACATATGAAGAAATGCTTAACTTCTCTGGACATAAAAGAAATACAAATCAAAACCTCACCATAGTTAGAATGGCTATAATTAAGAGACTGAATAACAACAGATGCTGGAGGGGATGTGGCCAAAAGGGAACCCTACTGCATTGTAGGTGGGAGTTTAAACTTGTTCAACCACTCTGGAAAGCAGTATAGAGTTTCCTCAAAAGACTCCACAAAGAGCTCCCCTATGACCCAGAAATTCCACTTTAGGGCATTTACCCAAAAGATCACAAACAAGGCCATACTAAAGCTACCAAAACAGCTATCATTTTCGCAGCATTGTTCACCATAGCGAAGATATGGAGCCAACCCAGATGCCCCTCAGTAGAGGAATGGATCAAGAAAATATACAATGGAATTTTATGTTTCCATCAGAAAAAAAATGACATCACCCCATTTGTTAGGAAATGGAAAGATTTGGAAAAAAATATATTAAGTAAAGTAATCCAGACCCAAAGAAACATAGGTCCCATGCTTTCCCTTATAATGTAATAATTAGTATATGTCTAGGATAATTTTATCAGATGAGCAGAAAAGGTCAAACGCTATGTACATATGACCATATAAGATGATGCTAAGTGAAATGAATCTCAAGATATGGACATAAGAGGTGGTTGTTGTTGTTGTTAAAGTAATATATGATTTTATTTGTTTCCTTTGTATGTTTTCTCCCCTATAATATATCCCCTATTGTCACTCTATTTGACTTTACTACCCAGAGTCCTGTATATACATTTATCTAATTTAGGGAGGGGAAGGGAATAACAAAATGCTGAAACAAGGACACACAATGACCCATTGCAACAATGAGACTCACCAGACTCTATGTTGGAAATGAACTTTACAACTTGAGGGGTGGGGAGTGGGAAAGGTGGGGGAGGGAAGGGATAGTAGGAGAAAAACAAAAGGGGGTAAAAATGCTCAACAAGAAATGTACACATTACCATGCTCATGTAACTGTAACCCTTCTGTACAGCCTCTTTACAATAAAATTATAAAAATGTAAAAAAAATTAAAAATAAAAAAGCTCTGCAAACACACTCTACAAATGGAATGAGAAAATAAACAAGTGATCAAAATTAGTCGTGTCCAAATTCTAGAAATTGCCCAAGGCCCATTTTCAACACAAAGGACCTACTATTAATAATCAGAGGGAGATTTTTTTGTGGTGTTTTAATTTTTCCTGTTCTCAATTTCCAACCTTTACAGGAACCCTGACAAATATGGGCCACATTTAGGTGAAAAGCCCACACTTGGTACTCATTAGAAGGATCACAACCCAGTATAAACGCTCATCCTCACATACCTGGCATCATTGGACCTGCCTGATTTGTTGTTTGTTTGTTTTGGTTAACGTGGTTTTGTATGTCCTTCCTTGCAAGGATCTCTATATTTGCTTGACTTGCTAGAAACCGCAATTGATACAAACCTCTTTCCTCTGGAAAAAGTCTTTTCCATAGAATGATTTAAAAAGATTTAGACAATTGATTAGCTTTCTGGTCATCCAAGATAATAGCAGTTGGAAAATTAGACTTAACAAAGTTAACTGGGAAAGCTGGAAAGTAAGACATATAATGGCTTTGTAAATTCTAACTACTTGGGCATCCAGGAGATTGCAGATACCTAGGACCGTGTAAACACGGAGGGATCTTCCCTCACTGTGAAAATACCTCCCGTACAGACTTGTGATAGACACTCATGCTGCATGAAAGCAGGAAGTGGAAACTAAGGCTGAGATGTCAGTTACCTTGCTGAGTATTGTGTGTCTGCTTCCGCGTGCACGCGGAGCGCATCAGCACAGAAGGGAGACTCGCTGTTTCTCCACCTCTGAGGCTCATGACTAATCATTAATAAACCACTAAGCTGAGAAGATGCTTTCACAACTCTATTCTATGACACAGAAAACAAAATGTACAGACTTAATTTAGAAACAATTGGTAAATGCAACAAATAGCCTATTAGGGAAGTCAGTATGGAGCTATTCAGGAAGCTGAGATTTGAGAATTGCGGTTCAAAGACAGTCAGGGCAGGAAAGTCCATGAGGCATTTATCTCCAATTAACCACCAGAAAACCTGAAGTGGTGCTGTGGCTCAAGTGGTAGAGTGCTCCTCTTGAGCTGAAGAATTCAGGGACCGAGCACCGGCCCAGAATTCAAGCCCCACAACAATAACAAAAAAAAAAAAAAGAAAGAGAAAAAGAAAAGAGAGCTAAAATTAGAACTACCTTATGATCCTAATTCTGTCATATAT